ACAGAATACCCTGTATCTTGGAAACCACTTAACTTATTTTCGTTCTGTTAGAAAATTCATAATCCTCGTGAGTCCAGCTTTAATTTTGTATGCGACATGTCAACATTTTAAAAACTGAAAATATTTTCAATTATTTTATTTTTTTTATGTTGATAGCCTTGTAAATAAAAATTTTTAAATGGCTACATATGTCAAATGGTGTATCATTTTGAAGGTCTTGCATAAACAAACAACTTTAAACTTTAAACCTACCGTCTATCCGTACTGTATAGTGTATCTTCATCCATAATCACCAGTACTGCACGTTTAACATGGGTTTTATATGGGCAATTGGAATTTTTGGTTAATTACTAGAAAACTACCCTCTTTATAGACGACCCTCTGGATCCGCCACTGCTGGCACGACAACTTTGCTAGAAAGTCGACACGTTGTAAAGATTTGTTATGTTGGTACCAACTAGAAGAATCAACCAGTTCATTGGGTCATGGCTTTATTTCAATCCCTTATTCTGCCCCTATTTTTTTAACCCTGTTAACATACAATTTGTCGGGGTCACAGCCTTATCACAAGGAAAACTAGCATCCCTTGGAATTAAAGGCAGGGCGAATGCATGGTTTGCTAACACCTTCAAGGACAAACGCAAGTTGTCGAAACTCAGGAATCACCCAATGGAATGAAGAAAGAAAACATACATCAGAGCCACAGCAGAGGAGTACCACAAGGGTCTGTGCTCGGTCCGGTCTTGTATGTTTTATTCACAAATGACTTCCTTAGCATGATCAAGAAAAACAGTATTGTTATCATTGTACAATTTTTTTACACTTGCATTAAAATAACAGTTTTTCATAGTCTCCTTTTAAACACTGTTTCTTTCAATTTCACAATCCATCCATGAACTAAGACATAAAAATCCATGTACTAGTTTTAAGTTATATTATTGTATGACGTCATTGTAATTTCTTGACGAAACTACAAGTAAAGAATGATTTGATTTGAATTTTGTCAACCGCCAATTAGCCAAGGCCATTAGTATTCTAGGAAAGCATCTGAATCCTATTCAGAGCCATTTTATATTATTCGACTCAATAAGATTTAATGATGACATTTTTTTATGTACCTAACAAAACCAAACTCAACGAAAGAGTAATCTTTTATCACTATCACATGACAAATTATGACAGTGACTGAACCTGACAGGACAACCTATGGTAAGGATCCGGTTTCCTAACTGACCAAGGTAATGTCCTGAACCAGTTTATCATCAAGTTGGACCGTTGCCAAAACCAGAGACTTCAACACTCAGTTTATTGACCCTGATACTGACTCTTCTGACATTTTGTGATCACTTAATTAATACAGTGCTCTTTACTAACTTGTCTGACTCAGTTATGAATGTAAACAAAAGCTTAGTGAATTTCCCATTGGGAATAAGCTACCGTACTATCAAAGGTCTGATGTTAAGACCCAGAATTTACATTTTAGCGAATTTCCCATGTTGGGAAAAAGCTTTTACCGCAGGTCTCAAGGTAAGACCTAAACCCGGAACCAATTTATTTGTTTTTTTTTATGTCCCGTTTATAAATATGTCCGTTAGCTCGATAACTCGATAAATCATCCGATTTTGATGAAATTTGGTACAAACATGTAAACCTATGTTTATTCAAAAGATATCCTGAACCAGTGTGATCATACCATGAGAACGGGGTTTTATGGGGTAAAAATTGGTTTTTCTCATTTTTAGACCCTCCAATCATAAAATTTCCCAATTTTATTTATAAACCATTTTGAAGATCTTAAAAAAACAATGATCGGACTATTGAATGGTGTTAAATGGGGTAAACAATTATTTTGTTCCATATTTGATGATCCTCGTAACATCAAATTAGCAATTTCTTAGTAAACCATTTTGTAGAACAATAAACTAATAATTTAACATATTGAAGCGTTGTTGTACCCTTAATGGCTGTGGAGAAGATGAAAAAAAACTGTAAATGAAAAATATCCATGTTATTCTTATAGAGAATAATTTTATCTGTAACCGTTTCAAAAACAACGACGATTCAATGTACGTTACAGAATTGTTTTTTTTTCAATCATCATTTCTGCTTGAGTTATCGTGCTAACGGACACACACACACGTACGTTATTTATGAATTTCTAACTGATGGTGTTTTTGGCAACTTTAGGTACCTAAAAATTAAAAAGTAAATTGTTCCCTGGTTTTTACCATGAGACCTACGGTAATAACTTATTATTAAAAGCTATGCTATATAAAAAATGTCTAACATCAGCAACTGTTCTTAAATAGGGATATCAATACATAAATCCATCAATATACATCAAATTCTGTTGGCGACTTACCATTTACATGTAAATCGGATGTGCTATATTGATAGTATTTGATTGACAATACTGTCTCCGTCTATATTATCACGTCTCTACAAACTGTTTAGGAACTCATAACTAAAATTAGCTAATCATTCATAGTAGTATTGCTACATTCCTGTAATTGACAGTTTAAGATAGGTGGCAGCTTTGATGTCGATTTAATTTGTGTCTTTTATCTTGATTGCTCAGGATTGAATTGCATCTTGTAAGAAAAGGGTTTAATTTCAGAGTCTGCGGGTACTTAGTTTTGATCAAACCCTTTCCACACAATATATTACAATGATTCAAAACAACGGTATTCAATTTTTGCTATCATTTCAGGTGTAAAATTTCACGACACTTGCCACCGTTAAATATATGAACAATTTTTATCCAGTTCAAATACAGACTGACTCTCAACAGAGAAAGGGGGGGGGAGAGAGAGAGAGAGAGAGAGAGGCTGCTTCCCAGAGTCAGGTCCCCAGTCAAGTTCAGGGCCACCAACTGGACTTGTCGCAAAACCTCTTTTTTGGTGACAGAGGAAGATTCCAAGATCAGATGTCTCGCGCTTTAAACTCTGAAAGTATCTTCGATGGAAATAAAACCAAGGCAATCAATTGATATCTTTTAACCACACACTTCAGTGGTCAAGATCAATTAAAGAGGTAAATTTAGGGTTTTAAATTTATTGCTAAATATCAACACGAGCAATCAGACTTCAAGTTATAATTTTTGACAGGGATGACCCTGATTTGTATTTTAAAATATGATAGAGGGTGGGTTTAGAATAGAGTGGATGATATGTTTAGCGTAGCTATTTAAAGGACATGCTGTTTCCGTAGCCACCAAAGTTCATTCAAAGCCCACCAGCGATCAAGAATAGATAGAACAAGATGACCGTCAAAGAAATTTTCACTTTGAAACCATGACATTTTTTAGTCTTTATGTTCATATAATCCTTGATATGTTTCACCATCAAAATCATTATAAGCAATCAAGACAAGTCATTGGATTTGTTTGAATTAAAAGCCACAGATTTAAAATGGTAGAGAAGCCATCTTGCATCCAAGTAGAAGTAATACAAATAATAATTTATTTACCTATTTTGCCTGAAGGTCTTGTAGTTTGTAGGTTGAACTAGTACTCGATGCGCATTTCGCCGCTCAGTGCGGCATCTTCATAGAGTATCTTCTTACACTACTGTACATTTACAATATTTTGTGTAAATATGTACAGCAGTGTAAGAAATCTAGTAATCAGAAGTATAAGAAATCAAGACCTTCAAGTATAATAGGTAAATCAATTATTGCTTACAACAGGTCTTGTCACTGGGTTCAAACAACATTGAATACAAATAAGTTATAAAATAGTATATCCAATCACAACCTTTTGTCATTGAAAGTTTTTTTAACAAATTTATACTCATGGACCTTGAAGCTATTTAATTTTAGTCTACGATTTTTAAATGACTAACCTAATCAGTGTAAAATTCAAAATTAAGGAGGAGCAAAAGTTTTGCTCATCATTATAAATATGATAGTTATTCTAAACAAAAAATACCCCCGCTGCAGCAAACCTGCCGACTTAGCAAATTTCCATTTGCCTGGATTGATTTTCAATTAATCTATTAAATTAACATTTATGTTTAACGAGTACCTAGGCTAGCTGCTACAGGGAAACTAATAAAGTGTGTTTTTTTATTTAAATATAAATAGCTAGTATGAAATAAATAAATCCGCCAAGTTAGGTCAAAATATATCCATAAACAAGCCAACTACAACATAATTATAATATTTATTCTCCATAAGAATAACATGGGATCTTTAAATTAAACATTTTTTGAATTTTCACCGTAACCATACCGTACAAAAACACGTTGATATACTAAATTATTTGTTTTTTAAGCTCTTTAAAAAGGTTTGGAGAAAAATTGATAAATTTTGTGTTTTAAGGGTAAAAAATGAGAAAAACCCATTTTTACCCCATAAAAACCTCGTTCCCATGGTCCGATCATGCTGGTTCGGGAACTCATTCAAGTTTATCCTACCTTACACCTTTAAACCAAATTTTATCAAAATCAGACAAAAATTACTCAAGTTATCGTGCGGATGGACACATATATATATAGATATATATATACATATATACAAATTTGAACGAATGGTGTTTTTGGCCTCTGGGGACATCAAAATGAAAAAGTAAATCGGTCTCGGACCTAGGTCTTACCATGAGACCTACGGTAATAGCTACTTCCCTATAGGGAAATTCGTTAATAAAACCAATTATGAAGATATTTTACAGCACTGATTATTCTCAGCTGATTCTATTTCAATCTTACTATCCGCAAAAATACAGAATGCGAAAATGGAACCTAAAAAGCCTCACTGGTGACGATTACAATAATAATAACCAATCAAAACTTAACAATTTTCAAATTAGTAGGTCAGGCATCAAAGACACATGCTTTACACCTATTAGATTATTTAGCTGTATGAAGGAAATATGACTTACAGCAATAAACCAACCTTTACCCCTCATCTTATGACAACCCATTGTTGACCAAAATGTCAGGGTCCTAAGTGCCAGTTCTGTATAAAAGCTCAAACTTCTACTTCATATTCAATATTGTTCTTACGCAGCAGCCAGAAGCCGCCATGGAATATGTAAGTTTTCAAAAATGCATTATTTAATTTTTATCTTTATGTCAAATTTAAAACTTGGTGATAGCTTGAAGAAGATGATATTTGAAATGTTAACTAACACCACACATATCAAGTCTAAAGCAGGGAAAAATTTTATACTGGAAGGGTTACTAATGTTGAGAAATGATTTTGTAGATGATAATCATAAAAAAATTTTAAAAATACAATAAATTTCCATACATACCTACATGTTTTGTAGCAAAGAACTAATGTAGAATTTGCAACCGAGGGTGATTAAAAAGACTAATACTAAATAATTAGAAATACTAAAAAAAGCATATTCTAGAAATTCTTATAGAAAAAAACTTTTGTTTGTTTAAATCAGGTAAAAATAGAAAATATAGGTTAAGTGACAGAGAACAGCTGAATTAGATTTTCACGTAAACACACACAGACACTAATAAAACTTAGCCATCAAATTGAAATTAAATACTTAATTAAAATTTAGTATGCCTACACCTTGGCTTTTGTAAAGATTTACCGCTGGCTGAATTGTATCAATTTTCAGTGCTATTTTATAATATATACTATGTAAATCAATTAAACTATTTTAAAAACATTGTAACTTTTATGTTTCAGCTTTTCCCAGTATTTTTACTAACCACTGTAACTGGTGCTGTGGTGTATCCCTTCCAAGATGGCTTGTACCAGCCTCCACCTCTTTTAGAAGGTAAGAAAAAACTAAAATTTGAAATATAATCTAATTATCTAATGTAAAATTTAGATTTAAGCTATTGACGTGGAGAATGATTATAGTAGCAACCAATGATTATAGAAATCCACATATTTTCTATCTATGTGATCTATGACTGGGACGGTGGCGTAGTCCTGTAATCCAACTACTAGTAGAAAACAAGAAAATTGGTGACAGCTGGTCCATATAGATTGTCTTCTTCTGTATCCAATAGTCAATGGTATTACACAATGTATTATAAAGCAAGTAAAGTTTTTTTCATATAAATAGAACTAGACATTCCCATGTTATAGTTGTCTGTTTGCAGAATGAAAATAAATTTAGTTGAATTGAGTCACACACTTTTAAAACATTTTAAGATCATTAGTAATTGATAAATTTCCACAGGAATAAATAGAACAATTTTTCAATGACTGGTTTAGCAATGCATAAATGCCATACACATTACAAATACCATTGTTGTATAGGTATAAATACATGTCTGGATTATTAAGGACAGACACATGACACATGCATTCAACGAGGATAAAATTATGAGGAAAGGAGCTAATAATTACACTTAATGTTTTAATCATAAATATATATATATATTTTTTAATTATAAATATTGTATTATTATATCACGCCAGAAGGAGGGGGAAAAGTAGGTGTTCACAGTATGAGCATGATAGCATTGACTATTTGATACTGCAGATATAGTTGCCGTACGAGTCTTGCTGATCGGGGTATTTCATGTGAGACCGAAAACATCTTCCCGGGAGAGTTTTGTACAAATTTTGCCATACTACCTGCAAATGTACTCATAAAAGGTTTTTGGCTAAATTTAGACATGTAGAATAACAACATTATTAACTAATATTTCAATCATTTCGCCACCTTGAAAAAATTGAATACTCTCCTGGTATGGAATACTCATACCTTTTTCAAATTTATCAGGCAGCATACCTGAGATAATTCCTTCGACTTAACTATTATTTCATGGGAAGTTTCACAATTGTCTCCATCATAATACATTCTGTAATAAATTAATTTGTAAATGTTCACAGTAGACTTACTCCTACACAATGATGGTCATCGAAGTGATCCAACCCAACAAAATATTTGCAATGTAGATTTGTAGTGGTGAGGGAAGTTGCTTCGTATTTAAGCCTATTGCAAAACTCACTGGTAAATTTATTGTACTCCAGCTGATTTTACCGGTCCCTCTCTGTAGTCACTGGCTTTTTTTAAAAAAGAATGCAGAAACTAGCAGCTTACTGGGTAGTGTGGGCAGTGTGACGAAAATTTATTTATTTACCAATGCATATTCATGTTTCAGCTCGTCAGGCTGGTCCGGCTATCTCCACTTACTACTTCTCTCGAGGACGTCCATCCAACCACGGAGCTCCTCAACCAAACGTCCAGCTAATCCCTTCATTCGCTCAAGAAGCGTCACTAAATTCCCCAGAACTATCCTTCGTACGCAAACAACCACCAACTGCTCAATCGGTATTGAATGCTCAACCATCCTTCGTGAATGATCAAATGCCAATTGCAATTGGTCAACCATCAATTTTGAATGTTCAACCATCATTTGTGAAAAACCAACCGTCAATTTTGAATAGTCAACCTTCATTTGGGAATACTCAACAATCAATTTTCGATAGTCAGACATCATTTGAGAATGTACAACCATCAATTTTCAATACTCAATCATTTACTAGAAATCAGCCCTTCGGAAAAGACCACCCTTCAAATGTAAAGTATGAACCAACACATTTAGATACTCAACCTCAACCTTTTTACAACCAACCATCACACTTATATTCACAGCCATCATTTGTGTTTACTTTACCCACTATGGAGTATTATCTACCTTTTGAGGACTCTCCAGAATCCTCAGATTTTTCCAAGCGGTCCTCCTTCCCTTCCCAGGAAGAATAGGTGTTTGGTATGAATAAACAGTTTCATTAGAGAAAATAAACATGTATTTACAAAGTTTACATATTTTTTTATAACTACCTGTTTTATCACCATAATTAAAAAATAATAGGTTATAAATAAATGAAAGATATCACAAATATGACCCTTAATTTCTCCCATCGGCTTGTCAACAGCCCTTATCATGGGAAAGCCGTGGGAGTAACAATGATATTTTATGGGGAAATCACCAAATTTGCAATAACCTTTGAACCGTCATTTGTAAAGCTACGGGGAAGAAACTGTAGTAGTTATAGTATACAGTATAGTGTAAAGTTTTACGTTATTTGGACTATTTTCCATATAAGTAAGCTTGCTATCCTCACTAAAAAATCTTTAAAATATATCAAAGCAAATCAAATAAAAATCTCTTTATTCATGTCGTACATACACAAGAATAGTGTCATGAAATAGAAAAACTTCTTCTATACAAAAGGTATCTATTATTTCTACTGCAGCTAATTTTGATGAGTAACTAGTGGCTTGTAGGGGCACTGGCCCCTATAATATTCTAGTAATTATTTTGTACAAATTATTAGTCTCATGGGTTACCCTAACTTGAATAATTGTTTAACATTTTTATATATTATAGCCTAATATGTATGATAGTTATTACATAGCTGCATTAAGCATTTTGATGTCTGCTCTGTTTAAAATAAAAATTCCAAAGGACTGTTTATGCGGTGTGTTTATAATTTAAACTTTCTAATCGTAATACAACTAAAGAACATTTTCAATATTAATCTTTATGACTATTAATTAAATACATATAAATTTTGTTGAATATAGACAAATTCACTTCGAAAAAACACATAGAGATAATGTCATCCTCCAAATTGTAAAATGCAAAAACTCTCTGTTTAACAGTATCCATATTAAAGTAGATTCCTTGGTCTTTATTTGGTAGTATTTTAACATCATCTGGCCGCTTTACCCGGCTAAAAGCAACATAAAGCTGGCCACTGGGTAAACATTGGTTTTTTTCCAAATAAATGCCAACTTTTGTGAAGGTTTGGCCTTGCGCTTTATATAGAATAGCGAGAGCTAATCACAATGGGAATTGAATCCTTGTAAACTTAAACGGCATATATTAGCATCTGTAGATATTAGTTTTATTTTGGCATCAAAAATATGTTCCCTTTGCCTACTCCAGTAATTCCTTCTAACTTTTTTCAGACATACTTAACACAACCAATCGTACTCCATTAACTAACTGATTCAGATCCTTAAAATTGTAAAAAAGTCTATTTCAGCTTTATAATACAGTAGTATACATATTACAGTACATATTACAAATTACCATATGCTTTAAATAAAGTTAAACCACATGTTTTAAAGTAAACAAAGCAGACATGACCTTGGATTCCCATGCTATTTAAATGAGAATTAATTTATTCCGTAATAACCTTTTGGTGCATAATTAAGGAAAATGGCTAATTTTCCCCAAAATTTCATGCCCAGACCTTTAAAATGAGACCTCTCCCAGCTTTCTACGGCCTCCCGTTCACTCACAATTTCATTGTAAAATTTTGGGCTTACAGAATTAGATATATAGATTGGCTCAAAATTGTGCTGAAATACATAAATCTTTTTATTTATTCTTAAAATAATCTTCTAGAGAGTAACTACTTTTCTTGGCCAAACAATGTTTCACATTATTTCTGAAATTGTGATGTGGAAAGCGAATAGTGACCTCTTGTCGGGAATTTTTGATTTTGAGTTATATACATATTTGAATTCCTTATTAAATTCTGAATCACTTGGTACAAGTCCCACGCATCTGCGATTTTTTTTTTAAGTTATAGGACTTAGAAATGTTGTTATTGAAAAGGGTCATTTTGAGAAAAACACTTCAAAATTTCAAGTACACATTAAAACAGTTTTTTTTTATTTAAGAACAGATTTTGGTATCAAAAGAAAGCTTATAAGGTCTCTTTGGAGGCAAAACCAATTTTTGTGTTAACTCTCGATAGTTTTCATTTAAATAATTGTTTTATAGAAGCTTGTCGTAAATTCGCATTTCAGAAAAGGGACCTCTTGTCGGCCCTATGTTATTTCTCCATAAGATAAGAAAAGGTACCTCTTGTCGGGACCACAAAATTTGTGAGATATTTTGTTCTCCGTACACTGAACTTTGTTGTAGTTCTCTAAATTTCCTCTAGAATGCAGGACAATTCATTTTTTGGACTAAAATCTGTTTATAAAGTGAATATTAGAAATGGGACCTCTTGTCGTTATGGCAAAATTAACATTGAACTACAAGAACCTTTTCTCACCGTACCTTTTCCTCCTTTTCTCTTTTCTCTTTTTTTTTGGTAGGTACCTTTTCTCAGACCGTGCAGAGGCTAACAAAATGATTTATTTCGACCTTTTATCTTCAATTCGATATTTTAACCGGTCCTGTTCTATGATAAATGAGGTATAACAATCGATAAAAACCCGAATTTCAATATTTTCGGCCTTATTACTTATATCGGACGTACTGAAAATTTTGCATCGCCGACAAGAGGTCCCTTTTCGCTCTCCACATTACAATTAGTTTTTGTCTATAGCTGTTTTAAGTGATGGTGGTAAATGAGCTGAGAAAAGTATTGTTTTACTGAATCGTCTTCATCTAGGTTCAGAATAATTCTTGTAACCTTCTTTTGAAGTATAAAATTTTGTCCAGATTTTTTTTACTCTCATATGTTGCCAAACCATATGTACTCTCATATGTTGCCACACCATGCAAAGTATAATATAAATTTTAGGGTTTAAATGTTGCATAGAAGTGACATTCTTTTAAAAATAAAAAAGCCAGAAGAAATTTTTTTTGTAAAATTTGAACAAGAGGTAATCCCAACTTAAGTTGCAGTCAATGTTTAAGCCTAATAATTTTGTTATGGCTGAACTAGGTCTTTCTTTGTTCTAAACTGTGGAAAAATACATAAGATTAGTTTTGTTGGAATGCAAAAATAAACTATTCCTCCTAAAATAAGACTGAATACTTTTTAGTTGCTTTTTACATGCCAATTCAAGATCATAATTTTTTGATGATGTTTATTAAGTTAGAGTCATCTGCATATTATACAAGTTTACTACTGCTACCATTATTATTTATAACTGAGGGCATACGGTTCATGTAGCAAAGAAATAATAAAGGTCCAAGAATGGATCCTTGAGGAACCCCATACTCAGTGGTAAGAGATATGGAATTATATTTGGTAATTTTACCATCTTTAGAGGATATACTTAGGCGTGCAACAGTAAATACTTTTATGAAATTCAAATATGTTTAAGTGCACTGACCGAGCGGTTTTTGCACTAGAGATAAATGATTGCTTTTAAAAGGCATTTAAATGCACCCAAAAAGAAGGAAACCAAAACCAGTTTGCGACAGGATGAAGACCAAAACCAGTCTCTGATAAAAACATAATTGGCTCAGCTTGGAAGCCAAAAAAGAGCAAAAATTATCAAATTTAGTTAATTCGCTAATTTTACCAGTATAACTATGTACTGTAGTAAATAAACTATTGTACCGTACAAGGCTAGTTGAATTCACACGTCTTCATGAAATCATCCAATTCCTTAGAATTATCGTAGCTTGTTAATATTCCAACTGGTTTAGCTGTTGTAGCAGCAATAAAAAAATCTTAGCCTTTAGTTTTAGTGGTTTTTAAGGTTCTGTTACTATGTGTCATTATTTGTTAGCAAACTCTCTCCTGAAAAAGTCAGCAGCTGTTTTTTGATGATTTGAAACTGGTCCCAGCGCTACTGAACATTTGGCTTTTAATAAATTGTCTTGGATAATAAAAAAACTGCTCTTAGTCAGTAACAAAACTGTCATGTCATTCATTTTATACTTCATCCACACCATAAAATACAAATCCTGATGATGTCTCAGTGTTGCATGCATTTAATATCTAATATTTTACCAACCTTTTATTTCTCTTCCTAAATAAAACATTTGATACCGGTATGGACAAAGTATTGTTTTTGTCAACATTTTCGAGTTTCAGTTTTGGGGGTGCCCCTGAACCCAAAAAAGTTGTTTTTGAAGTAACATGTGTTTGTGGATGAGTACAGAGCTGCAAATCCCAACTGTAGTTAGACATTGATGAAATTTGGTACTTGGGTACCAAATTATTTACCAAATAATCCACGTTATCTCCAGGATTTTTTTTATTTTATTTTGATTTTCAATGGTGATTTTTCATAAAAACCAATAAAATAACAGAAAGGTTTGATTTTTTTACAGTTCAATCAATTTTAATTAAAATCTAGTTTGTTGTTGTCTTTTTAACTCCCCTTGCTGTAAAAATTACTGATCAAAAGTTAATACAACTTTTGTGATTTTCCCCATAAAATATTAATAATCAATAAAATATCATTGGTTACTCCCACCACCAATGAAAAATGGTTGTTGACTAACTCATGGGAGGAAGTATGCCTCAGATACTTGATACCCTTTATTTAACTCTGGAAATCAATACTTAAAAATTGAGACGTCTTTATAAAGTTAATAACTTAACAAAGAATGTAAAACAATGAATTTAATGTTAACAAAATTTTTTTTGAATTTGTAAATCTTGTTTTACTGTCTACCCCTGTGATGATCATTGTTGCTACCCAGTGACCAGGTCCAAGGCCAGGGGGACGGTGGCCCCCTCATGGGTATATAAGGGCCCCGGGCCCCCATGTGGTCACAGTCAGTTCCAGACGTCCACTCCGCTCACTCAACTCACCACCCACCACTCACCACTCATTCATCATGATGAAATACGTAAGTATCACCTTGAATTTGTTCAACTTTGAAATTTAACTTCAAAACTCACTTTTGTTAGAAATTACCTGTACTGTGATGATTTCAATTATTCTTTCAACTTGTTGAATTTTATTTTTACTAAATGTACTGGTAACATTTTGAAGTGTATCTTAGTTCTCATATATGACTTTCCGTTCTTTCATTTTGATATGGAGTGGTGATTAAGTCGTTTTAGCAGGGAAATGATTAAATTTTATGTAAAAATATTCTTTAATTTATCTTGAAGTAGGTATTAGAAACACTATTCTGGTAAAGTTATTACAAAATATACATTTAAAGAGTGTTTAGATCAGTATTTTTTTTATGATTTGCAAAAGTAAAACAGAAAACATCCCAAATTGATGTAAATCTAACTCCTAAATAATATTTTTTAATAATTAACCAGTGTAGTTTTGTTAGTTGTTTCAAAAATCATATTTTATAACTATTTTTATACCTTTCTCAATAAATCTTCCAAGAATAATGCATTGAATTTATCAAAGTATTAAATTGGTTCTCATTATACAATTTTCAAAAGCATTGTTAAAGCTTGATCCAATAAAACTCTGGATAATATGAAGATTTTAAACCACGCCAAAACCACTGGCAAAACTATGACAATGATTTCGTCTTGAGGATATTATCAAAACCACCTTTATATATTTTTGAAAAATGTTTACCTACATAAAAATCAAATACCCCCGCCGCAGCAAACCTGCAGACTAAGCGAATTTCCATATACACAGCTGGAATTCCACTAAATTGTTCCCTTAAAATTGTCAGATTTATTTCCTATTTAAACATCATTAATATTAATGAGTACTTAGGTTTGCTGCTACAGGGAAGAAAATAGGGGGTTTTTATTGAAATATTAATAGTTTAGTATGAAGTAAACAAAATTTCAAAATTTCATTAATATATGTCCATACACAAGCAAGCTACAAACACTGTATTTATTCTCCATAAGAATAACATGGTAATTTTAAATTTACATTATTTTGCAATTTTTCCGTAACCGTTAGGCATGCAACAATGCTTCAATATACTAAATTATTTGTTTTTTTGAGCTCTACAAAATGGTTTAGAAAGAAATTGCAAAATTTTATGTTTTCAGGGTGAAAAATTAGAAAAACCCATTTTTACCCCATAAAACCCCCCATAAACCCCTGTTCCCATAGTCCGATCATGCTGGTTCGCGAACTCGTTCAAATAAATGTAGGTTTACACGTTTATACCAAATTTCATCAAAATCGGACCATTTTTGCTCGAGTTATCGCGCTAACGGACACATATATAAATATATAAATATATATATATATATGAATTTGAACAGATGGTGTTTTTGGCCTCTGGGGACCTCAAAACGAAAAACTAAATCGGTCCCGGGTCCAGATCTTACCATGAGACCTACGGTAATAGCTTATTCCCTATATGGGAAATTCGCTAAAAGGATTATCTGTTCTAAATAACGTCAAAATTTAAGTTAGATGAATAATTCTACTACAATATTATTTATCAAACAATTATTTTAATTGTAATTTGAGTTTTCATATTATTTTTAATTTGTCAAATATTCTAATTAGTTTAATAGATGATTATGTCTTTGTTTGGTAATTTTTATGAAATTGATTAAATTTAGTACAAACCCACATTTATTCGAACGAGTTTGCGAACCAGCTTAATCGGACTATGGGAATGGGGATTAATGGGGGGTTTTATGGGGTAAAAATTGGTTTTTCCCATTTTTTACCCTAAAAACACAAAATGTTTTAATTTCTCTTCAAACCATTTTGTAGAGCTTAAAAAAGAAATAATTTTGTATATTGAAGCGTTGTTGTATGCCCAACGGTTAAGGGGATAGTTCAAAAAATTTTAAATTTAAAATTACCTTATTATTTTTCTGGAGAATAAATAAACTGTTGTAGTTTGCTTGTTTATGGATATATTTTGATCAAATTTGGCAATTTTTTTTATTTCATACTAAGCTATCAACATTTCAATAAAAAAACACAACTCAATTTCTTCCCTGTAGCAGCAGAATTTCTACCCTAAGTATTCACACTCACTAAAATTAATGTTATTTAAATAGGAAATAAATTTGACAATTTTTAGGGAATATTTTAGTAAAAATCCAGCCGGGTAAATGAAAATTCGCTTAGTCTCTGCAGGTTTGCTGCGGCAGGGGTGTTATTCTTTAAAGTTTTTTGGTTTTAAAAAATATGGCAAGACTGCAGTTTAAATCTTCTCTTAAATAATTTTGAAACCTAATTTATACTGCAACTGACAAAAATGTAACCCGATATTTAATCAAAATTATTTTATACATTGTTATATTCTGAAAATTTCAAAAACATAGTACACAAAAATATTATAGTTTTATCATTGTTCAATACTACAATCCTTTTGATCCTTATTGATCCTTATAAGGTTATCCTTATTGATGTTGCAATTTCAAGAGATTATTGGTATTTTCAATATCAATTTCAAAAAACGTTTTCACAATAATTTGGCGTCTTAAGATGAGAAAGTACATTGTACCTTGAACATAACAAATATTAGTACACAAACCGAAAGTTGGAAAATCACAAATAAAACCACACAGGGAACTTAGTAGTTTACAATCAAACAAAAACAAAAGCCCAGAAAATAAAACAAGGTTTACGCTGGAGCCGCCATCATGCCCATTAATTGTGTTTTCCTGATTTTATTTTTTACTATTGCAGTTTTATTCAAAAATTCAAGGGCTTACTGTATGTTTCATTTTATTTGTGTGACTGACTATTATACAGTATGTCCTCTTTGTGGTTTTATTCGTAATTTTCCAGCTTCGGATGGGTTTTTATAGTGGTCTTGTTGGTTTTAAGGACTTTCTCAAAACCTTGATGGCGGCCTCAGGTTCTAGATCCCAAAATGTTGTGAAAACTCAGTTTCTTTACCAATTGTGATGGAAAATGTCTGCATTAATCTCTTAAATAACATTAACTCGTCATCACCATAAATGAACTCTTAACAAAGAATTTACTATTGTTGTTTTCCACAGTTGGTTGCCCTGGCACTCTTCGCCGCTGTCGCCCTGGCTCGTCCTGAGGGTGATAACGAGGCCGCTCGTGACACCAGAGGTAAAGCAATTGAACAGCTGAATTAAAAAAAGTGTATGAAGCAAGTTGATAGTTGAGTAGATTATATGAGTGATAAATTTAGTCACCAAAACCCAATAATGGTTTTGTTCGAAGTTAAAGTCGTGGAAAATATATATTGTGGTGACAAACTTTCTAGTTTGGTAAACTAGACTAGTTTAGCTATATTTTAATATTTCTCAAACATGTCTATAAAGGGTATTATAGAAAGAAATGGTGGTTAAAATACTTAAGCTAATTTATTTTTAGTTTGTTTTAGCTGTACAGAGTACAGTCCATGCTTACTACTGTGGCCATACTGGTACCCCAAATGGTACTTAGCCTCACTCACACACTGCCTCCAGCCTTTTCTGTCCTGGGCCTGTATTTCATTTATTCCCAGCCTCCTTAGGGTCCTGTACCATCTTTCCATCTGAGTTTTGGCCTGCCTGGAAGCCACCTGCTTTCTGGGTTGTTCCTCAAGACCCCTCCAGGTGGTGGGTCTTCATCTCATGTTCTCGTCTGAGATCATGACCTGTAAACCTGAGTCCATGGTCCAATTCGTTACATGTTTTAAATCAAAATCATTTATCCTCTTAATAACTGCCAACCTTACTCATCTAGTCATTTAGGTATATTTTAATCTAAATTATTCCTTGATGTTCCAGCTGCCGTGGCAGTAGCCTACCCAGGCGCTTATGCAGGTGCCTACCCGGCTGCATACCCCGCTGCCTACTCTGCAGCTTACCCGGCCGCTTACCCCGCCTACGGAGCTGGTGTCCCAGTCGCTTACGCCTCACACCCCACCTACGTTGCCGGTGCCCCCGTAGCTTACGCCCAGCCAGCCTACAAGGCCTATGCCGCCGCCCCCGCTGTAGCCGCCCCTCACTACGCCGCTGCCCCTGTTGCCTACGCCGCCCCCTCATACATCAACGCTTACAAGACTGTCCACGTTTAAGACTGAAATATTTTTATAAGATTTTTAACGAATCGGCTCACCTTCCCTTCCCCAATTCCTTTACCCCATCCAGAAAATTGAGTAATAAAATTAATTGCAAATTAAAAATGGTGTTTTTTAAATCCCCTTGACGTTATGTGTTACTTCAGTATGACTTATAATTGGATTAAAACTGAAATTTTAGAAATACATATAGTTTGAAATTGAATACGTTTGATGTTACACCTCTTTATACAGATCAAGTGTTATGAGAAAACCTTGTGCTTGCAAAACTAGTTACGAGCTAAAAAAACTTATTAAAATTGTAAAAATTAATTGTTTAAGTGACACTAGTGCGCAGAGGGCAAATGTAGAACTAATTTAGAGTCAAGGAAATAAGCTGATCAGTTCCCCTTGCTCTAAATCAGAGCTTGGGAAACAATAACTATCTTTGATATCAGCTGTCAATGTTGTCAAAAATAACTACTCTCTATACCGAGTTATCAAAATGTGGAATTAATTCACTTTAAAATCCAAAAAGCCTAAAACTGTAAAAAAATCTTCTGCACACATTGTCATAACAACACAATAGTACATTTTATAACTATACTAAAGTGACTCTTTTCAACCCGAGCTCAAGTTTCACGAGGCTAAACCAAGATAAGCATGGTTTATAATATTATTGAAAAACTAGAAAATAAAAATAATTTCATGTAAAAATAACCCTTAAAAAAGCAACTTCTAAGGTCTCTGGCTGAGGCAAGCTGTAGCAAGATTTCCCCGAAGGGACTCAGCTCCTGAACTTGTTTGACCAGCCAATCCTTTGTGGCTGCGTTAGCACAGCCAACCACCAAGGCTCCTTCAAGATGGCAGCTGCTTATCCTGATGTCTTTGCCACGAATGGCCCACCTAGGCAGCTCCCCCTTGATTTTGTTGGCTTCAGCCTCCGTGGACGTTTCCTGGACAGGTGTTCTGATCTGATGATGGCCATCTTCTCAACAGACAGTGTATCCAGGTGGGTGCCGGTGCTCTCTGTGAAACACCCGAGCCCTCTCCCTCTTTCGTACTCGTCTTCTTTTTCTCACCCCAGAAATCCTCATGTGTCAGGTGATCTCGCCCCCTCTTTCCTGGAGGCTTCATTAGAGTCAGCTCATTAAAAGACGAGGGTGCCACCCTCGTCCTGCTTTTTTCCCAGCATCCTGCTTCCCGTAGGAACTGGCTTTGCAGGGAGCTGGGTTTAGGTGCTTGGCAGCCCAGGCCAGCCTCCTCTTAGTTCTGGATAGCACATTTTCGCCTTTGGCTAAAGCATTCGCTATTCTCCGTCTTCGCAACTCGCTCCTGAAAAGTTGTTTTTTTCCATTAATTTCCGGTTTCCGTGAGCTTTTCGTCATCGTCAGATTTCAGTAAACTTTCCTCGTCCATTGGGGTCATACGTTGTTCCCATGAATACTGGGTATCTAAGGTCCACCTCCCCAGAAGATTAGAGGGGTATACGACTGGGTTCCCCCTGGTTCCCAGAAGGCTCAGTTAAGACACTGAATATTAGGCCCCTATTGTCACGAGACTCTCAGGACGTATCGTATTACACCTTAGTCTAGGGCCCCCCTCACTTGGTTCTGTAGGTGGACCAACACCCAGTTAACAGTGAAAGTTGGAATTTAGGTGTGGCCAATCTGCCGAACCAACCCTGCATGCGAGGTTTGGCCGGAACGGCGCGAAAGATTCTCCCACTCCCTAAACCCCCATACCTTCCGATGTGTCTGGCTGAACAACAACAAACCGAACAGCGAGAAAAAACTGAACAAGAATGAAACAATAAGCTACAACTGATGATGAAATCAATCATTTGATAATTTTGTTACATGTGATCACTTTAAAATCAAAGTTACAACAACTGAATTTTACTCCTTGGGGAGTTAATTTTACTCCCTAGAGTGTAAAAGAGCTGATTTAGACTTGTTTAGCGCTTGTTCTTGATGTTTTAATGTTAACAATGTCTATTGTCACAAGAAAAAAATCATCTACACATGTGTTTTTTCCCAGCTGGAACACTTAAAGGCTCTGTCAAACTCTATGGTTCTTATTTCACTTATATTTACACAACATTTGTCAGCAAAATTAATATAATACTGAACTAATAAGTAAACACTTGAAACACAATTCAAACGTTTTAACACTATCCCACATTATAAGAAAAACATACCTTACTTCTCTTGAGGCAATATAGAATTCTATGGTAGAATCAAAAGGTCAACTCAAGGAAAACTAAACAAACTAAAACAAAAACAAATCTGACAGCTGATGTATCTTCAAAATTTCAATGTGAATAAAGTAGGTACAGTCCTTTAATTGATGTTGCTACCCTTAGGATAGGGATTATAAAAAAAATATTTTTCAGGGAAGTTTCACATCAAAGACTTTTCATTCAAAGTGTGTGGTTGGTGTGCAGCTTATGGTTATATCAAAAGTTCGGTTCTTGTTAGCTTTGGAGATAGATTTTATTACTGTACAAAGTAATATGTATAAAATGGTATTAAACATATTAAATTTAGTATTCTGGTCAAGAGAGAGGAGTGATGGTTCCCTGTGTAATGTTTAGATATAATAAATAATTAGATTTAATATTTTATATGCTTGAATGGATGGTGTTTTGGCCTCCGGAGACCTCAAAACTAAATACCCCCGCCGCAGCAAACCTGCACACTAAAGCGAATTTCCATTAGCCTGATTGGATTTACACTAAAATGCCCCCTTAAAAATATCAAAATTATTCCCTATTTAAATAGTAGTACCTGGGGACCACTCTGCGATGCCAGCCTTTACTATTTCCTTCACCACTTCCTACGTCTCGGACCTGTTTTCCTCCCTTCCCATAGCATCTTAAGATTGTAGATACCTTAATCTAATTGTCATTAACAGCTCCCACACTCCGGACTGCTCACTTTTACTACTTCCTTCACCACTTCCAACGTCGCGGACCTGTTTCCCTCCCTTCCCATAGCATTTTAGGATTGTATATACCTTAATCTAATCGTCATAAACAGTTCCCACACTCCGGACCGCTCACCTTTACTACTTCCTTCACTACTTCCTACGTCGCGGACCTGTTTCCCTCCCATCCCATAGCATTTTAGGATTGCAGATACCTTAATCTAATCGTCATAAACAGTTACCACACTCCGAACTACTCGCTGTTAATACTTCCTTCGCCACTTCCTACGTCGCGGACCTCTTCTGTTTCCCTCCCTTCCCATAGCATTTTAGGATTGTATATACCTTAAATCTAATCGTCATAAACAGTTCCCACACTCCGGACCACTCACCTTTACTACAGTATTTCCTTTACCACTTCCTACGTCACGGACCTGTTTCCTTACCTTCCCATAGCATTTTAGAATTACAGATACTTTAATCTAATCGTCATAAACAGTTCCTGCACTCAGAATAGCTCGCATTGACTACTTCCTTCACCACATCCAACGTCGCGGACCTGTTTCCTTACCTTCCCATAGCATTTTAGGATTGCAGATACCTTACGATCCTTGTGGAACAGCTGAAGCCACTTTTATTGTTAGTTCTGTCTGGTTTTATGTAGATTGTTTACAATTTGTTTCTATTATTTTTGGGTTAGTTTCTCATTATTTGTGTCTCACTGTTTGGTTATATAGCCAACGATAGTAATATAGTACGGTAATATAGTGAACGAGTTATCGTTTATGATTAAATAGTATTATTTGGTTAACCGAGGCTTTAAATTACTGAAATAACAAGAAATAAATTGTAAACAAAACACGACATCTACAGAATACCCCCGCCGCAGCAAACCTGCCGTCTAAGCGAATTTCCATTTGGCTGAATTGATTTTCAATTGATCTATTTAAATAACATTAGGTTTAACGAGTATCTAGGTTTGCTGCTACAAGGAAACTAATAAAGTGTGTGTTTTAAGTAAAATAATTATTGCTTAGTATAAAATGAATATATTTGCCAAGTTTGATCAAAAGATATCCATAAACAAGCAAACTACAACATTTTACAATATTCTCCATAAGAATAACATGGGAATTTTAAATTTAAATTTTTTTTTTAGTTTTCTCCGTAACCAATAACCGTACAAAAACACTTTGATATACTGAATTGTTTGTTTTCTTAAGCTCTTTAAGAAGGTTTAGAGAAAAATTGGAAAATTTTTTGTTTTGAGGGTCAAAAGTGAGAAAAACCCATTTTTACCCCATAAAACCCCCCATAAAATCCTGTTCCCATGGTCCGATCATGCTGGATCGCGAACTCATTCAAGTTTATCCCGCCTTACACCTTCAAACCAAATTTCATCAAAATCGGATAAAAATTACTCAAGTTATCGTGTTCACGGACACATATATCTATATATATATATATCTATATATATATATATATATACATATATAAAAATTTGAACAAATGGTGTTTTTGGCCTCTGGGGACATCAAAATGAAAAAGTAAATCGGTCCCGGGCCTAAGTCTTACCATGAGACCTACGGTAATAGCTACTTCCCTATAGGGAAATTCGCTAAAACCGGACAAAACTAACAATAAAATTGGCTTCAGCTGTTCCATAAGGATGGGAAATCTACCTTAATCTAATCGTCATATCAGATCCCACACTCCGCACTGCTAACTTATCCTTTTACAATGTATCGAGTAAGCTTCAGTATAATCATTGCTCAATAGTAACAAGTGGTGTTTTTGCTTTTGTACTGTATTTTGTAATTTCTAGTATACTGTGGGTAGATGCCTTTATGAACACATGTGTTACAACTTACAAGTCTTTTGTTTACTTTTTCCTTGTTATTTAATTCAGTCAAGATGGTTACTTAGCAACCAACAAGACTAATGTAAAAAAAAATGTGACTTTTGGTTTTATTTTTCTACATAATTAGATTTTTGTTGGCAGTTCTAACTGCAGTAAACTTGTTTTTAGGCCAGGAATAAACTATTTACAGCATTTGAAGATAATCGTAGGAGCCATTTTTGAGATTTTTGAGATTAAAAATGGTGTTACCGTTGAAAGAATAAATAAAGAATAAAGAATAAAGAGATCTTTGTGCAAGCAAGCATACAAGGAAAGAAAGGAAACATTGCTCATATTA